GTTCAAGCAGTGAGAATGAATTCCTACGGCTCCATCATCCCGGTGGCCTGGCTCTCCAGACCTTCAGTGTACACAAACCCAGGGAAGCTTCCTTACCCGTCACCCTGGCCACTTGGCATCCCACTTGTCCTGCAAGGCGTAAGCCAACTCTCCCACTGAATTGAGGGTGAGCTGGATGCCGCTTGTGTGTTGTTGGACCCCCTCCTCCCTGGATCGCTGTGGGAGCCGATTTAGAGAGGGTAACCCCACTGCGAGGCTTGTGGGTGGAGCTCCAATCCACCGGTCCATTCTGCAACATCAGTTGTGGGTTGAGCACAGTCCTGGGCACTGGGGGTGCAGAAAAGGATGAGACACCGTTACAGCCCGCAAAGTATTCCTGGTCTAATGGAAGACAAAGCTTGTAGGTAATTCAACCCTACGCAGCACTACAGGTACTACGGGAATCTAGTGTGTTGGCCCCCTGGTGGTACTGGAGGTGTTGCTGTTAGGTGCCCTCCAGCCAGTTCCAACTCCTAAGGACCCCATGCACAACAGAGGAAGCGCCGCCCAGTCCTGCGCCAACCTCACAGTCATTCTTATGTTTGAGTCCATTGTTGCAGCCACTGTGTCAATATATCTCATTGAAGGGCATCAATATGTCTCATTGAAGGGCGTCAATACATCTCATTGAAGGACGTCAATACATCTCATTGAAGGGCATCAGTACATCCCATTGAAGGGCTTACTCCTTTTTCACTGACCCTCTTCTTTACCAAGCTTGATGCCCTTCTCCAGGGACTGGTCCCTCTTGACAACATGCCCAAAGTACGTGAGATGGAGTCTTGCCATTCTCACTTCTAAGAAGCATTCCAGCTGTACTTCTTCCAAGACAAATTTGTTTGTTCTTCTGGCAGTCCATGGTGTATTGAATGTTTTGCCAACCATAATTCAAAGGCATCACTTCTTCTTTGGTCTTCCTAATTCATGGTCTAGCTTTTGCATGTGCGGTGATTGAAAGGGCCATGGCTTGGGTCAGGTGCACTTTAGTCCTCAAAGTGACATCTTTGGCTTTTAACATTTTTAAAGGGTTTTTTTTGCAGCACATTTGCCCAATGCAATACATCCTTTGATTTTTGATTGCTGCTTCCATGAGTTTTGATTGTAGAGCCAAGTAAAATGAAACCCTTGACAACTTCTGTCTTTTCCCTGTTTATCATGATGTTGCTTATTGGTCCAGTTGTGAGGCTTTTTGTTTTCTATATGTTGACGAAAGAGGGGGAGGCCTTCAGGGAGATGGATTGATACAGTGGCTGCGATGATGGGCTCGAGTATAGCAGGGATTGTGGGGCTGGCGCGGGATCGGGCAGTGTTTCGTTCTGCTGTGCGTGGGGTCGCTATGAGTCGGAAACGACTCGACGGCACTTAACAACATAACAATGTTGAGGTATAATCCATACTGAAGACTATTACAGTCTTTGATCTTCATCAGTGAGTCCTTCAAATCTTTTTGCTTTCAGCAAGTTTGTGTCATCTGCATATCACAGGTTGTTAATGAGTCTTCCTCCTGATGCCACGTTCTTCATGTAGTCCAGCTTCTCAGATTATTTGCTCAGCGTACAGATGGAATAAGTATGGTGAAAGGATACAAAGCCTGATGCTCACTTTTCCCTATTTTAAACCATGCAGTATCCCCTTGTTCTGTTTGAACAACTGCTTCTTGGTCTATGTACAGGTTCTTCATAAGCATAATTAAGTGTTCTGGAATTCCCATTCTTCTCAATGTTATCCATAATTTGTTATGATCCACACAGTTCAATGCTTTTGCATAGTCAGTAAAACACAGGTAAATATCTTCCTGGTATTCTCTGCTTTCAGCCAAGATCTATCTTACATTAGTAATGATATCCCTTGTTCCATGTCCTCTTCTGAATCTGTCTTGAATTTCTGACAGTTCCCTGTTTATGTACCAATACAATCATTTTTTAATTATCTTCAGCACAACTTTAGTTTCATGTGAAATTAATGATATTGTTCAATAATTCTGCATACTGTGGAGCATCTTTCTTGGAATGGGCACACATTTGGATCTCTTCCAGTCGGTTGGTCAGGTAGCATCTTCCAAACTGTTTTGTCATAGACGAGTGAATGCTCCAGCATTTTATCTGTTCATAGAAACGTCTCAATGAGTTCTCTGTCAATGCCTAGAGCCTTGTTTTTCACCAGTACTTTCAGTGCAGATTGGACTTCTTCTTTCAATACCATTAGTTCTTGATCATATGTTGTTTCCTAAAATGGTTGAATGTCAAACAATTATTTTTGGTACAGTGACTCTGTGTATTCCTTCCGTCTTCCCTTGATGTTTCCTGCATCATTCAACATCCTGCCCATAGAATCCTTCAGTATTTCAACTCAAGGCTTAAATTTTTTCTTTAGTTTTTTCAGCTTGAGAAATGCCAAGCATGTTCTTCCCTTTTGGTTTTCTAACTCCAGGTCTTTGCATATTTCATTGTA